CCCTATCACCCTGACTCAAATGGTACAAAAGCAACTCATGTAACTAAAACATTTTTACCCTTGTAATATTGTGAATTTTAAAATATCAAAACTCCAAAGGTGAAGAGCTACTGAACAGAAGGTCATATACCAATAACAAATGCCATTTGTCCCTCAATAGTTGCTATGGCATACGATAAATTTGCCTGGATTATAAATGGCAGAATTTATGATATCTGATTCTGAAATTTGGGTCTGCAGTTCTGTAGTACACATGGCATTTAAAATACTTTGCCTTCGTGTAAATGACCATCAACACACACACAAAAATACACACACACACACACAAACATAACAGATTAGAATGTAGGGTAAGGATCATTAGGCAAGGAGGATGAGATAAGATAGAGGAGACATTGAAAACATCACGAAGGGGCAATGACAGAGGGCCAGAGAAGACAGGGCATCAGGGAGGAAGGGAGGGCGATTTGGGTGGATAAACCAAACATTCCTTCTAGTTTAAAGCAGACTGGAAGATCAGCACTTGTATAATATCACCCTCTTATTTTACAGATGTAGGAATAGAGGCTAAAGAAGGTAAAATGACCTTTCAGAATCACATGGTAAATTTTCCAAGTTGGTCTGAAGGAAGCTGAGGACACAGACAGCAGCTGGAAGTCAGGAAAGTAAGAGAAAGTCTAGAAGTCAGGGCGATGATGGGGCAAGAGAGGCGGGGTATAAGGCTCAGGGTTACAGGAGGCACATTTTTTCTCTGAAATTCAATTTGCATGAGAAAGAGATTTGTCAGTTGGAATAGAGGAAGTCACTACAAGCTACTGAGAAAAAGGTTTGCTGAAATCAGATATCAAACACCAGTTCTGCAAGTCAGAAGTTCCATCTCCCAGTGCAATGCTGCTTCTGCCATTTCAACTGTTAGCAGTCCTCTTCCCAGGTGGTGACAGTGAGGACGGTAAGAGTCACTCTGGCAGCCCCCAGCCCTGGTGGTGGGGTCTTGGGTAAAAGCATGCTGCACTTACCAGGTGCACTTGGACATCAAGGGTCTGAGCCCTGATGTCTCCAGCCCTCTTCTGCCTTTCTGGGTGTTGGGGCTGGAGCATGAAGCCCTGGGACAGTCAAATATGTCAGGCTTTATGTGTTCTTCAGACTCTAGTTTCTTGTTCTCCGAAATGTTTCCATTTCCATTTCCTCTCACTCCCTCCTGCTTCTCCCTTCACAGTCTTGTTCTTCTCTTCTTCACAGCCTTCCAGGGACCAACCTCTTTCCGTCTCATCCAGACCTCATCCTTTGCCAACAGCACCTGGGCACACAATCAAGGTTCAGGCTGGTTGGATGATTTGCAGATTCATGGCTGGGACAGTGACTCAGGCACTGCGATATTCCTGAAGCCCTGGTCCAAGGGCAACATCAGTGATGAGGAGATTGCTGAGCTGGAGGAGCTATTCCAAGTCTACTTTTTTCTATTTACTCAAGAAATACAGGGGTATGCCAGTGAATTCCAGCTGGAATGTGAGTCCAGTCCCCTGAACTGCAGAGATTCCCAAGGACTTTCTTCTCTCTATTTTTGCAAGCTGCAATTCCCTCTGACCCTCTTTTCCTCATTTCTGCTTTACCCAACTGCATGCACACTCTCTTCTAGAGCAGTCTCTCGCTGACTCCACACCTCCACACTGTATTCCAGATCCTGGCTGCTTCTGACTCTTCTCTGACAGATTAGGGCTCCACATTGGTATCCAACTCCTGGTATGTCTTATGTGGACCTTCCTGCTCA